TGGCTGCTAGCTCTGCCCCCACAGTTGGAGGCAGCAATGCTTCTGAATGCCAGTTGCTAGAAACCACAGAGTGGGAGACTGCTCTTGAAAAGGTCCTGCTTTTGGGCTGTTCTCACAGTGGCCGAGCAGATGCCCCTTTTGGGAAACCTGCAAGCAGGACCCCAATAACAAGCACATTTCCCCCCTCCTTTGGCTTTCAGCAACAAGTATTCAGAAACATGACTGCCTCCAACCATGTATTGCACATTGCCAGTGGCGTAGCGTGGGTTGTCAGCACCCGGGGCAAGGCAAGTAATTTGCGCCCCCTAACCCGTGGATTTGCGCCCCCTAACCTGTGGATTTGCCCTAACCCCAGATGTTGCGCCCAGTGCGGCCGGCACCCCCTGCACCCCCCACGCTACGCCACTGCACATTGCGTAATATGCAATGCCATTATCTGCAATGCAATCATGGTGGCGGGGGAACGGGGGACAGACTGTTAGATTGGCTATTGCACACAAGTAGTTCAGCCAGTAATCAGCCTGGATAGGGCTGATGAGAAGCTGCATGCTTCCAGGTTCCTTGCAGCAACTTAGAAGCCTCAAAAGAGAGTCGTGGAAAACAGGAAGCAGAGGCAGGTATAAGACTGTTTCCTCTGCTTAAAGGAGGATAAGGAAACTGAAAGGGAGTGGTGGGTTGCCTCACCTCCTGCCCACATCTGATAGGAAGACAGGGAAGGGAACAGTTAGAATAATAGAATCACAGAACTGCAGAGTTGGAAGGGACAACGCCCCCCACATCATCTAGTCCAGTTCCCTGCAATTCAGGAACCACAAGTTGCCCTAAACCTCTGTGACACAGGGTATTGTTGCATTGGATACAATGTGGAACATAGTCCCCTGGTTTTAGCAAAGAGGATACAGTTAGGAGTTTGGGCAGGAATACTGGGAGTTAGTTCCCACAGCTTTGTCCAGGAAGGCTACAAGTCTGCTTTGAATGAACCTTGCATATTGCATACAGGAACGAATAAAGCTGCTCCAGAGATACCGTATTTTTTGCTCTATAACACGCACCTGACCATAACACGCAAGTAGTTTTTAGAGGAGGAAAACAAGAAAAAAAATATTCTAAACGAAACAGTGGATGTATGATTTTTGTGGTTCATGCTGTGGTCACAGACATGTGATCTGACAGTGAGTTTGGAGTAGCCCAATGCAAAAATCCTGAAGATCCATGTGGATCCATGCTTTGTAACCATGTTTTTGCACCACTTCGGCCCCAGGCAACAGTGGGTGCGTGATTTTTTTGGTGCAAGATGTAGCCATGGACATGTTATGTGATCTGATGGTGAATTTGGGGTGTCCCAGTGCAAAAATCCTGAGGATCCCTGTGGATCCGTGCTTTGTAACCATGTTTTAAGTGGGGAGGGAAGGAAAAGCACTCAAGGGACAAGGAGGATGCTGCTAATAATGCAGAAGAGGGGTTTAAGGGGAGAAGAGGTGGGTGGAGAAGGATGCTGCTAATAATGAAGAAGGGTATAAGGGGAGAAGGCTCCTCTCCTCTCCCGCTTTGCTCCTTTAAAGCAAGCAGGCTCTGCTTTTCTCCTTCCTCCCCGCTCATCCCTGGCTTAGCGAGCTGAAAAACTTTGCTGCTCTTTAGCGAGCTGAGTGGGGAGGAGAGAGGGACAGAGAGCCTGCTTGCTTTAAAGGAACCAACCAGACAGTAGCCGCTTACACTCGTGCAAGCGGCTCCTCTCCTCTCCCGCTTTGCTCCTTTAAAGCAGGCTTCCTCAACCTTGGGCCTCCAGATGTTTTGAGACTACAGTTCCCATCATTCCTGGCCACTGGTCCTGCTAGCTAGGGATCATGGGAGTTGTAGGCCAGAAACATCTGGAGGCCCAAGGTTGAGGAAGCCTGCTTTAAAGCAAGCAGGCTCTCTGTCCCTCTCTCCTCCCCACTCAGCGGCTCTTCTCCCACTTTGCTGTTTCAAAGCGAGCCACGGAGGAGGGAAGGAAGGGGAACCATGGATCCTCTGCTCACGACTGCAGCAGATCCCCCCCGCCACCCGTAGGCATTCGCTCCATAACATGCACAGACATTTCCCCTTACTTTCTAGGAGGAAAAAAGTGAGTGTTATGGTGCAAAAAATACGGTACTTGATTGTCGCCAAGGGATAGCACACTTGGTAGAGTATGAGACTCTTAATATCAGGGTTGTGCCCCACAAAGAGCAAAAGATTCCTGCATTGCATTTCAATGATTCTATAAAAGTGGTTCTTGTCTAAAGTGAGCTTAAGTGAAGTGGCCCCCAAGGGCCAAAATGGGTTTGGGAGCATTCGTTTTCTTTCCTGCCCTGTGTGTGAGTTTGCTTTCCAGAAAGCCAAGGTGACTTGCTTGAAAATGTAGAATTTCTGAAGGTGTTCAAGCCATGGGAAAAACACTGGGAGGTTGTCATTTTTTCCAAAAAAATAAACAAATGGAAATATTGTGGGGGGAAAGAAATACATGCAATATCTTGATTTTCTTATCAATTTTAAACTTCACTACTTTAAGAACATGAAATGCATAAGCTATATCTTAGCATGTGACACTGTACTGTTCACAATATTTATTAAGTTTGAAATTAGGAATCATTGGCAGCACAGTCCTATAATAGGCAGTGTGGTACAGTGGTTAGAGTGTCAAACTAGAAGGCAAACAATAACTTCAAATATTCATTCGCAGCACCATAAGGTACCAAATATACCTTGGTTTTTGCTACTTGGGAAAATGGGGGTGGCAGTGGAACTGAGCTTTTTATTACTGTTTCTACTATTGCTATTATTATTTGAGAAAGGACACACATTTCAATAATATACAAGAAGAAATACAATACAATACAATACAAATGAATAAACATTGAACATCAATACATTTTGGGGGGGCTTGTTATGTTCACAACCCCAAAAAAGAATTACGGTACGTACTGTTATTGGTATTGGGGGTAGTAAACCCTCTCCCCAATTTAATTATTTTGTTACATATAACAATACAAATGTCTGAGAGATTTCAGCAAGCAAGCAAGAAGAAAAGAATGATGCCGAGTAGACAGAGATACAAATAATACTAAGAATAATAAGATAATGATTCCATGAAATAGCAATGGAGCAGTCAATAATAAGTCCTAGTGTACAGTCATATCCAAATAAAAGGATACTTTGCAGGAACTTTCCAGCCACAAGTGAGCTCCCCCCACCGTCCCTTTTTAATAGGTCTTCTCCATCAGCCTAGTCAGTTTGCACACTGCTTTTCCATAGGAAACCATGTTCTCCAAAGAGATAAATATCTAGGAAGAAGAGAGGAAGCAACACACACACATGCGCGCACACACAAAAAGCCCTTCCCAGCAACTCCATAAAGCAACAGTGATATATGATAAACGGGAGGCATAACATTTAGTTGTTTGGGGTGGAAATAATATATTTGTTAGTGTTTAGTTTTCGTATTTTCTAGTTGTTTGTTTCTCTCTCCATCCCACAACCTCCATCCAGGGTGCACATGGGGAACACACTGACTGTCCCACCAATACCATGGGAGTCTCCCTCCCTCCCTCCCTGCCCTGGATAATGTGCATGTGCTCTGTGCTTCCCAATGGCATCTGGCTGCCTGCTGTGGGTAAAGAATAACTGGGGGGAAATGGGCCCTTGATCTGATCCAACAGCCTGGCAATTATATATATATAATTATATAATAAAACACTTTTCTATTTATGAGTCATTGTGTGCATATTATATATAACTGAAAAACTAAAACCCACGAGAAATATAATACATAGTGAAAAGTATGCTAATTGTATAGATATATCATCCCCAGTACATCACTGCGCATGAGAAACCCACACCTCAGGAAAAGAAGAAGAAGAATGAAATAGTGCTATAAACGATCCATTTGTGTGTGGTTGATTGTGCCAGTAGATTACAGTGGTCCCCAAACTTTTTTTCAGGCCCCTTGTTTTCATAAACACAGCCCTCCCCACCCTGTGCCCCTACAATACCCGATAAAAAGCATTATTCAGAATAGTAGTTAGGATTACCCTCTAAGGAAGATAATAACGCAATAAAAATTAAAAACAGTAACCATTCATTAAACATTTATTCACAATCCAATCAAAAGTATTTAATTAATTCAGCAAAACTGGTTAGCTTAATCCAGTGATACTTGCTCTTCTAAATCTGATGGTCATTTTCACCTCCAGTATCCTCCCCCTGAGTAATCCCACTGCCCCCCAGGGGGTGGTACCAGTCATTTTGGGAACAATAGCTCTAAAGTGTCAGGGGGAGACTGCAGGAAGACAAGGGGAGCCCCCATTTCAAATCCCCACTCAGCCGCGAAGCACACTGCGCCACCCTAACTTACCCCTCAGTGGTGTTGGGAAGACAAATGGGAAGGGGTGGGGGAATCTTTATGTCACTTTGAGCTTCTGGGAGGAAAGGGGGGATATAAACTTAATACACGCTGTTCCGTTCTTTGCAAAAGAAAGAGCAAGGCATTTTCTTCCGCTTGAAAAAAAAAAGGAAGAAATATAAGGTGGATTTCACAGAATCCTGTAAAAGTGAGAAACACAGAATCATAAATTGTAGAGTTTGAGGGAACCCCAAGGGTCATCTAGTCCAACCCCATGTAATGCAGGAATAGTGAAATAATTTGTGTGTATTGATGCATGATATAGCAACAGGGAACTGTCTGATCCCCTTTCGACGCCATCTAGGCCGGTGGCTATTAGCTCATCTTGTGGCAGGGAGTTCCAGAAGGGAACGAGTTCTTTCCCGAAAGCGCTTAAGCGCTCGAGCGATTGCAAAGTGGGACAGAAAAATTCCCTCTCCGCCCTCCCGCTCCCCATCGCCCTTCCTGCTCCCGGGGGTGGGGTGGGGGTTGTTCTGCGGAAGGGGTGGGCGAGGAAGCCCCTGAGGGGACCCAATCCTCGCCTGCCAGCTTGCGGCCGGAGTCAGGACGCCAGGCTCGGGAGGGGCGGGGGCTCGGGAGCGACTGCCCCAAAGAAAGGCGGCGCACGCTCCGCGGGCCCACAGAGGTTGGCGGGCGGGGAGAACTGCCCAGTCAGTCGAGCCCGTTAGCAGAAGGAGGCGCCCCGCAGCAGCAGAAGCAGCGACAGCCGCCCTGCCCAGAGACTGAAGCCCGCCGAGCCAGCCCGAAGGCACCATGCCCAAAACGGTACGGAGAGCCTGCCGGGAGTAAATGGAGTAAATGGGAGGCCCCGCGCATTGCACTTCTCCCTCTACCCCGCTCTCGAACTGGGAGTCGACCCCGTTTGCTTCCCGCCTGGGGAGGAGGAGGGCTTTCCCTTGCGCGCGTAAAGCCTCCTCTCCGCCTCACTCAGAAACGCTTTGCTTGACCCTACGCGCCACGGAGGCTTCTCTGCTTCACGTTATCCGGGCGGGCTCCGGGCCGCGGGGTGGAGGGGTGTGTGGGGAGGCGGGCGACAGTGCGAGCCTGGCTGACGGCGACGGGGCGGGGGATGACGGCGGCTCCCGGCCCTGCCACTTCCCTAGTGTCCCGGTTGGCGGCGGGTCTCTCCCGTCTCCTCCTTTCTCTGGGGCCCGCTGACCCGCCTGAGGCATTTGGGTCCTTCCCTCTCGCTTTTCCTCGCTCTCTCGCCTCTTCCTCGTGAATGGGACACATTCATGGCAGGAAGGAGGAGGAGGAGGAGGGAGGGAGGGTCTTTGTGAAGCGGGAGGGCGAGCGCCCGCTGCCGGGTGCTTGGCTGACTGAGGGGGCGCGCGGGCGGCTCTCCAAAGCCAGTGGGCCTTCTCCAAGGGGCGTCAGTCGGGGCGCGCCTCTAGCCGCACGAGGAAGTCGTGTCCTCCCCCCTCCCTGCCAGCCCAGCCGAGCCTACTCTTCTCGCACCCCCCTCCTTCAGATGCGCCCCGGCCCACGCCCCGCTTCGGGCCTTGAGTTGGCATTTGTTCCTGTGCGCTTCTCAAGAGCCACTGAAAGTTCGGCAGTTGGGTGGGAGTCCTGTTTGTCGCTGCCATCTCCCTCCCCCATGTGGCCGGAGATGTGTGGCCGTTTTTCCTCGGAGAACTCCTCTTAGAAGAAACGATGAGGCAAAAATTCCGGGAAAACCTCTTTGAGTAGAGAAGCTGGATGTGAATTCAGCTTTTGAGCAGGTCATGAACTGAACCACTTCACAACTTTCCACTCCTGTTTATTACTGAAACCAATCTAAATTTATTTGCTACCACCTATATATGGCAGTCTGATGGATTTAGAATGCTAGATGCCCCAGTTATGTGTTCTGTGAAACCCAAGGACTCTGACTATACATTGCAACACACTGATGATGCCTTTGGGGTTGTTTCAAACATTTTGTCACCCACTCTGAGCGTTGCTTCTGCAATGGGAGGGTGGGGGTGTAAATATTTTCTGTAGTTATATATGTAGCTTTGCTTGTTTCATTTGGCGGGTTGGACAGGGCAGCATCTGTGGGCGGAAGGGCAGGTTTGGTCACCCTGCAAAAGTGCAGTGCTACTACTTGCTCTGTAGGGATAGCTGGCGGAGGTAACGATAGCTTGGCGCTTTGTGTTGTGATTAAACGCCCCCCCCCCAAAAAAAAATATTGCAAAAGTCCAAGTGACCAGTCTCTGAGAGGACTAACTTGACCAGGAACTTGAGTTAGGACTGCAAACTTTTAAGCAGCAGAAAGTTGTTTTTTTGAGCAAAGGTGCATAATATTACCGGGGTCATGCATCCTTATGAATACATGTTTTTCTGAGGGCTGGATGCAAAAGAAGATGGGCACTCCTTCCCTTTGTGTAAAGGGGGACAGGCATTCATTACAAGATGCTCCTTCCCAGTGTGCCCTCATCTTTACAACCATCAAGGTTACTAGAGCCTCCTGTTCTCTTTTGATTCAAGTATCCAATGCATAATTCCTGCTTTTATTTATCTCCTCACCTTACCTAAGGCTGCAATCTTATGTATGCTTGCAGGGAAATGTGCCCCACTGAACTCAGAGGGTCTTACTTGTGGGTATATGTACATAAGACACCAATCTGCATTTTTCTGTGAAAATTACCCATGCTTAAGTCTCAACTAAATCAATGGAGCTGATGTTGCAATAGGTCTCACTCATTTCAGGGTAACTTAAGCATGCCTCACTTTCAAGGGCTTGCACTACCCACTGATAATTTTGCGTGAGGCTAATTTGCAAGGAGTTGCTCTCTTAGGGGCTATGGAGGGGTGTTGGTATGCACAGCATTGCTGCCAGCTGTGGGTAACTGGCCTGGAAAGACCCTCCTCTGCCTCAGACCCTGAAGAACCACTTCAGACAATACTGAGCTAAATGGACCAATGGCTTGACTCAGTTTGAGGCAGCTTCCTGTGTTCCGTTTTGCACTTACAAAAGTGTGTGTGTGTGTTCAGAAATAATGAAGCTCCTGCTGCTTGCACTCAGTGGAGGCGGCTGGATAAATTAATGCAGTTGTGCAACTTTCCATTGGCAACCGCCAGCAAGCAGTCATGCCCTCTGGTTGCTTTGCATCTTAGAAAGACTTGCATGAGTGTTTTATTCTCTTCCACGAAGTGCAAAAAACCCCACAGGAAGATGCCAAGCCCAGGACGTCTTCTCCCTATATCCTGGTCCTTCAGTGGCACCAGCTCTCCAGGCAGAGGGTTGATCACATCTCACTGCAGGAAGCATAAAGCAATCTCTTTCTGCTTGGGTTTTCCCTGCTATGGTGAAACCCATCTATGGGTAGGACAACCATTTTACTCCTAGAGGGGATTTTGAGCATTGATAAGCATATACTCCTGAATTTGTTTCTTAATGAAGTATCAGAAATTCTGTGACTATGAAAACTACATCAGCTGTCTTAGATGCATAACAGTATAACCAGTTTAACACACTTTGTGGCTAAAGTTAGGAACCACAAGAAGCTGCCTCATACTGAGTCGGGCCATTGGTCCATCTTGCTCAGTACTGTCTACACTGACTGGCAGCAAGGGCTTCCAAGGGTTTCAGGAAGCAGATGCCAAGAGGGATTGAACCTGAGACCTTCTGCAGGCAGATTCTCCACCACTGATCTCTGTTCTCTATGGGTCTTCCAGCTTTCTTGCAATTCATAATTCGTTTCTCTCTTTGAGTTGCTACAGAGCCTTGTCTCAGCTTGACTCAAAAGTATTTCTTGGCTAAGGGAGGGTCTGTTGCCTTAAATGCTGAGCTTCTCAAGCCCATACTTGACTTCCTTTTGAAAAAAGGAGGTTGTCTGCGGGGAAGGCCTTCTTTATGTAAAAAAGGAGAGAGACTTTTGCAAGAAACACTTTTGCTTGTTGCTATTTAGTTTCCAATTAGAAAACTTCTAGAGCTAACAAAAGTTAGAAATCCTAAAACAGTTTTTTTTAAAAGAGAGAGAGAGAAAAGCATGCAGCATAGGCGAGTAAGATTTTTTATTTTTTTTTAGAAGGAAAATGTTCCATGCATATCTCTTTAAAGTAATGAATGAATTGTGAATCTGGCGCACCTGACTGTTGGGAAAGACCTGTTCGATTCTTTGATCTGCTGTTCTTTTGATTATACAATAGGTTCTTTAAAGGGGCTGATATTTGATACTTTCCATTTCTTTGATGGCATATAACCTTTGAAATGAGATTGGTTATACTGCTATTCCTTCCCCTTCCTTAAGTTAAAACATTTTGGCATGCGAAAACCCACCCCAAAAAGAGAGAGAAAGAAAGCGTCTTCATTCTTCCAACCCTTTTTCCTACATGCTTTCTGAGCAATGAGTAATTTTTAGAACTTGCATCAGTCAGTAACTAGGAACACACACTGTAGGAATCATTGCTAAGACATCCAGTGGTTCAGATGAATGTTGTAAGGAGGTGTCACTTCCTGCCCCTCCACACCCTGTTGCAACTCTTCTTCTTACTTAGCCTTGGTGCTCCAGCTTAGGGGCAGCTTTGCAGATCAGTTTTGTGTACAGTGGTACCCCGGGTTACAAACACTTTGGGTTACAGACTCCGCTAACCCGGAAGTAGTACCTCAGGTTAAGAACTTTACCTCAGGATGAGAACAGAAATCGCACAGCAGCGGGAGGCCCCATTAGCTAAAGTGGTACCCCAGGTTAAGAACAGTTTTAGGTTAAGAACGGATCTCCAGAACAAATTAAGTTTGTAACCAGAGGTACCACAGTATTTGCAGATAATGAGTGTTAAGTAGTTGCATATGGAAGTCCGAGGTGGATTCAGAAGCTAAATGCTCATGAATGTGGACATGCAGATTTGATTAAATATTTAGCCTTCTGGAATGAGTTAAAGACCTGCTAGCCAGATTCCTCCTTTGGTGGGGATGTCTTAAGACTATACTTGAGATCATGTTTAGATAACAAATATGTGAGGTTACCTACTATGTATCTGGTAAATATTTGTATGCTATAATTGTTAAAGTGGGGTGCTGGATATGTTCTGGAAAAAGTCCTGGAAGCCTAGACTTAAGAATTAATGCTGGAACCTGGGACACAGAGATGCTTTTCTAGGCTTGCCGTTACATGTAATGACTAAGTAGTTATTGCATGGACCTTGGCTGGGGTGCTTGCAGCCTGCTGTTTCACTAGAGTAACTATTATTTAGATCTATTACAGTCGTACCTTGGATTCCGAATGCCTTGGTACTTGGACATTTTGGCTCCTGAACGCTGCAAACCCAGAAGTGAGGGTTCTGGTTTGCGAACGTTCTTTGGAACCCGAACATCTGACGGGGCTTCCATGGCTTCCGATAGGCTGCAGGAGCTTCCTGCAGGCAATCAGAAGCTGTGCTTTGGTTTCTGAATGTTTGGAAGTCAAACAGTCTTCCGGAACGGATTCCGTTCGACTTCTAAGGTACGACTGTATATGTAAGGCAGTGCTTAGGGTGCAATTTTGCTTAAGAATGCAATAACACATTGCAAATTCATCTACTCTAACATTATTTACAAATATCCTAGCAACTAACAGGCACTTTGGCTATCAGTGGCCATCAGTCATGATGGCTGTAATCTGCCTCTACAGTCAGAGGCAGTGATGCTTCTGAATACAAATTGCCACAAACTCCAGGAGGGGAGAGTTCTTGGGTCCTGTTTGCCAGTTTCCCCTCTGGGTTAGCCACTGAGAGAACAAGATACTGAACTAGATGGGCCATTGGTTTGATCCAGCGGCTCTCCTTATGTTCTTATGTGGTCC